CGCATTATTCCTTTTTCGTCTAAAAATGGATCAATACCCAAAAGCTTGCTATTCTTTGGAATTTGCTTTTCTCTTTGTAATGCTGTTATTTCATTAAAGAAAGAAGCTCGTTGCGACATTTCGATACATAATTCTTCTACTATTATTCGCAGATCTGTCAACGAGATTTTTTTCTTTCTCATTTTATTTACTACTGACAATAATCGCGAAACGAACAAAATTAAACGAATAAATGACGAAAATCGTGTAAAATCTATTAAATTTTTTTCCACAAAATTTAAACAACAAATCTCCTTTTAAAACTCTTCTTTGCATTTTAAGTTTTCATTTAAACGCACGAAAGTTTGGTCTTGCTAATTCAATTCCGTTCCCCTTAAAAATGACGGTTCTAGAAACCATCGACTTCGTTCTTTTAATGCTCCAGGAGTGAAACACGTGGCGTCATCAGCCGGATTCTCCTTTGTCGGTACCCATCGCCATTCACACCCTTTGAAATTTTTTCGAATTTCGTGAAGTCGATTTGGCACGAAAACTTTAAATACTGTCGGATCTTTTTTTATCTAACATAAAACCGTAACTGAATCTGACCATTTCACATATTTACTGAAATTAAAATCGCGTTCACTAATTATTATCGATGCAAGGCGAGTAGCCAAAAGTGCGTCCTGAAGCTCGAGGCACGGAATTTTCGATCGTTTTGTGGGAGTTACTCTACTTTTTGAAGCTGTAAATGAAGTATGGAATTTACCATTACTAAAGAGAAGCGCCAGTAAGCTACAGCTGCGTACGTTTTCGAACTAGCGTCACAAAAAACGTGTAATTCGGCTTCACGTAATTGAAACTCGTTTAACTAGTAACATCTATTGATCTTGCATGACTTTACAAGCTTTAAATCTTGAATCCATTCTTTCCATTTAATAAATTCCTTATCTTTTATTTTTTTCCCCCAAGCAACTCCTAATTTACAAACCACTTGCATTAAAATTCTTGAGTGACTTGTGAAAGGAGCTAAAAATCCAAGAGGATCGAAAATTGACTTCAAGGTGCGATTCACAGCTATCTAAGAAATCGTCCATGTAACAGTTCTTTTTTAAACTATTTATGCTCTCAGGATACTTTCATAAATAAGTCGGCGTTTTTGTCTTTGATAAACAACGCGGTACAAGAGGACGACTTAGCGCCAAATAACATTGAATTCATTAAAAATTCCTGAGGAGGAGTATTCCGACTTTCTCTCTGCCAAAAAAAACGTTGCGCTTCACGATCATCGTCCCGAATCTTTATTTTTTTAAATATATCGCGCATATCGGCTTTCATGGCATAGACAAATTGACGGAAACACATTATTACACCAGGTAGAAGACGTAAAAGGTCAGGATCAGTTAACAGTAAGTCATTAAAACTTTTGGAATCTACTTTTGCTGCGGCATCGAACACTAACCTAATGGCTTCTTTACGTTTTGCACGCCGAAATGAGGTAAGCAGCGAATTGTTTTTTCAGGAGTTGCTTTTCCTGCTTTAATCGCAAATAAACGTGGCATTTCCTTCTCATAAAGCTGAGCATAAACCAGATATGGATTAAGCTTCTTCTCCAAATACGTAAGCCTGCGAAGTGTAGTACTCCGACCGCTAGGAAAAAATTTGTTGTCTGACTTACAAAAGCCTGACTTCCCAAGAGCTATTCACATAACGACTAGTTTTTTTTAATATTTCGAGGGCTCTGTCATTTTCGATACCACCTGATATTTCGTCTTTAATTCCGAGAGATTCTAAATTGAAATAATCCATCGATTTCAATTAAACGATTTTCATCATTTGAATTTTCTTTCTCGGACTTTTGCTCCATTAAATTAACGTATACCTCGTTTTCTAATTTTCCATCAAAATAGCCGTGTATCGTCTATCCCAATAAACAATGACTTACAAATAAAGAATCTTTTTTAATCTCTCTGAATTCATGCGTTATTATAAGGTCGATGTGATCTTGTCTTATTAACATCTTTGGAGGCACATTCAAGGTGTTAACTCGGATTCCCGTAACTCTTTCACACATTGACTCGACATTTTTATCGATATTTTGCGACGACAAAGGAAAGTCATCAACTACTAAAACGTTTTTTATATTGAAAACTGTGCCCTCACTCCTTACCGTTACATCTACTTTTTTACTGACAAAAGTAATTCCAGTGAGACTTTTTAAAGACATACTTAATTTCGTACATTTAGCTTCAATTTTTTCTACTACTTCCGAATTAATTAGCCTTGCGGCAGAACCGTCATTAACAAAGGCGCTAATTTTTTTCGAGCCATGAGGGCCGATGATTTTTAATTCGACTATTTATAATAACGTGGGAATTGAAATTTTGTGTTTGAAAACAAACTTTGAAATTTCCTTTATCTAGTCAAAACGTCGCTCCCAATGACGGTTCTCCGTGAGATATAAACGTTGTTATATGGTCTCGATGAAAAAGTTCGTGATGCCTGCGATTACATCTTTTGCACGATTTAATTATAAATACGCTTCATTCATCCCGATTCACTCGTACGGGCGCGCCTTTTATTTCAGAGTTTGAAAGGCGATACGTTTACACCCAAAATTATAATAATTTCTGCCTCTTCGAACGAAAAATCGGATAGTTTCTCTAGATCAGGCTTTCCATGTCCCTCAAAAGAGCCATAACGGATGTAACGATCAATCATTGAATCAGACATTTTTTTTATCGTCTCGCTCGACAGATCGCAACTAATTAAGTAGCCTTGTTTATTTAAAGACTTTATTGCTGCTACAGAATTTTTTAACCGAGTAGCGACTTCAATTAAGTTACTTTTTTGATCATCAATTTGCGGTAAACTTAGCACGTCATTGAAAATCTTTTGTAATATCATATTTTCGTTCCCGAATCTCATTTTCAACGTCTTTATAATCTCATGTGTACTGTTTCCGTTTACAAAAAGAATGTTGGTGGCATCGCGAGCATCACCTTTCAACGACTCGGAAAGCCTGAGTAGATTCTCTTGGTTTGTATAGTCATTTTTTTCGGTTAAAAATTCATACGCTTGCTTAAATTTGCTCTAATCAAGTAGGTCTCCTGTAAACGTCTGCATAGGCATAGATGCTATTCTGCTAAGTAACGCAGAATTATTAGTCTGAAAACTAGCTTCTTTATTGGCCGTCAAAGACTCTCAATAGCACTTGCCAACCTACTAAAGACCTCACCTACATCTGCCTGATTTTTTGTACCATGCATCTGAGTGTGTAAATTTCTGCTTAAAAAATTACGATTTAAGTTCTCTTCGCTACCTGACATTTCGTCAAAATCGCTGTCACTGTTAAGCAGGTCATCCTTTTCGTATACTGGCAATCGTTGATGTAGGTCAATCTCGGGTCGTAGTGATGGTATCCGTCGTTGTTATTGGTGTTGGGATGCAAGAGCAACGTCAGCATCGAGGCGGTGACACGCGAAATGCGCGTATCCTTCAGCTGGAGGGACGACCGGGGTCGTCACAAAGTCAACGTCGGAATCAACGGAGTAATGCGATGCTCAACCGTGAGCTACCGCAGGCGCTGGAGGTACGCCCACGGCACCAAAGACAGTATCGGAAATAGAACGAAGACGTAACATTCGATCACGAGCTACTACTATAGCTGCGTCAGGAACCGCTTCCAAGTTAGGAGCAGCAGCCGGTACGTTAACCTGACCGGTGCACCGACGTAGCGCTTGACCGCGAACTGGGGCCAGGGCGACAGGAACCGCCTCCAGGTTAGGTGCCGCTGGTACGTCGATGTGTTCGGCACGAGGACGCTGCGCTCGACCGCGGACTGGGCGCGGGATCGGGGCTGGGGCGATAGGAACCGCTTTCAGGTTAGGTGCCGCTGGTACGTCGACCTGATCGGCACGACGACGTTCGGTGGTCCGCTTTCAGGCGGATTTTGACTCCTCTGCATAGTTTGAAGTGAAACGAAATTTTTTTTTTTTTTAAACTTTTACTTAATTATGATTTCCGTCCGATGCACTAAAAAATATTACCGATTTGTTCTATTTTGAAAAAATAAAAACCGTACAACATTTACTTTTATAAAACAATTAATTTATTTTCTTTTCTTTAACGCTTTACGTGTAGACATAAAGACGGGTTGGACAACAATTATATTTTAGGACGCTCGTTTGTAGTCTAATTGAAAATTAGTTACCAAGGAAAAAAATCGTTGTCTCATAGAATAAAAGCGCGTCATGACCGAACGCCTGCGAAAGATTCAAAATCTCCCGCTACGTGGCTCTTCTCACTTTACCAATTTCTATAATAATCGTGTGAGGAGAGATAGGTACCCTCAATCAGCCTTATTCGACTGATCGTAACACGATCTCATAGCTGTGTAAATACCCGCTATGTTGACACGCCTTTACACTGTTTAATTAATACAAGAACAAACGAACGTTAACGAACAATAAAATTACCATATTACAACACTGGTTGTCTCATCGATTGGAACGCTGTACGTAATATGCACGTCCGTTGTAAAAAAATACACCACACATGGTTTTATACACACGGACATACTTAACATGCATGACACAATTAGTAAAACATACTTATGTATAATGAAATAACATAAAATTTAATATTAGCACACTTATAAAAGAAATTTCATTTTTGTATTTTAAGTTTATGTTATCCAATAAACACATTACAAGACAGTTTTCAGCATCTCTGGCAAAGTAGCATTGTCAGCCTTTGTCTAATGAGAAATTTAATTTAATTACCCTTGTATTAATTACATTTGTAATATTGATACTGAATTTGACGTGTTATAATAACTATTATTGGGTTGGTCTATCAGTTAAAAAGACTGTTTGGTTCCTACGATTACTATTTGGTACAAAAGTCTTTGCTCTAAAATTAAAGTCTATTTTATATAATACTTTTTATGAAGTTGTTATAACCATATGTATGTATACTAATCAATATTCAATTAATAAGTATGTTAATTTTTTTTACAGCTCGTCCATGTGGGAGCTTTGGAGGTGCAAAATGTTAAAAGGGCTATTAATCGGTATGGCACGCTACCTAAGAATGCAAGGATTGGTGCATATCTTGAGTCCTTGCGTCATAGTAGCATACCGTCAAATCATGACAGTAACAGTAGCTTTCTGGTATCTCCGTTGGATACCTCTAGCACTGAGCAGCAGCAGCAGCAGTCGCAGCAACAGCAACAATATCGTTCTCTCTCGCCTCGCCAAAGCAGCTTCCACAGTCAGGCGCAAATAATCAGCAGTATTTCTTTAAGCGGAGATGTTACCACGTATCAGCCATCTAATTTACTACCTGGGCGAAACATTGGTGCTGTTTTGCGAAAGCCCAGCACTGGTTTCGAGAGTAGCAACTTTCAACCGTCAATTGGAAACTGTACCTTTCGGAAAGCAAGTCCTCCTCGGTCAGCTCAACCAAGCTTAGCCGATCTTGAGTTTCCACCACCACCACCATTGGATCTCCCTCCACCTTTACCAACATCCAATTTGCTTTTAGACTGTTCTGTCAATCAGTGTGAACAGTTGCTGCTGCCATCGACCGTTTCGACTTCGAGTAACAGACAAGTGCCATTGACATTGGTAACGAACTCACCTTGCACCTTAAAAAAAACTAAAAGTATGCTGAGTGAGAATCCAGCAGCTCGTGAGCGAAACGGTGACCTTCAGTCAGCTGAACCTTCAGTGAAAGAAGCCAGTTCGAGATTTGGTGTAAGCCTACGGAAGCGAGAAGAACAGCAACAACAGAAGATTAGCGAGATTGTTAAAGTAACATCTGATGATTGCGATGGTTGTGAAGAAATCTTGCTTCAGGTTGACACAGCTATGCAGACTGCAATGACTCCCACGCCTTCACCTCCTCCTTTACCGCCCTCCCTCGTATCATCGAGTCATAACACGCAGAATAACCTAAGCACCTTTTCTTCGAAACCCGGATTGAAAGAAATGCTCGAGCTCAAGCTCATCAATGAAATCAAGCAAAGCTGTGGTGAGTCAAAGCCTAGCGGCACTTTAAAGAGGAGCAATATTTCAAGCAGCAGCAGTGCTCCTTTAGATCCAGCCTCACAGTTACTATCTGAGCTTTGTGAGAATTTTAGTGCTGATACAAGTAAGCAAAACGAATACGCGAGTTCGAACGTTGTTATCAGTTTTACTAATGCTGTAGATCTGAAAAAACAACAACAGCAGCAACAATCGCCGCACGTAGAGCCCACAGGACTTGGTTTCAAATTAAAAAAAGTTGAGCGGAAAATGAATGTCTTGGCAAAGGTAGAAGTTCCAGATTCTCAAGTAATTAATTTTAAGGCTCGACTGCGGAAAGTTGATAATATCGCAGATAAATCTTTGTCAGTTTCACTGGTGGAAGATACAAGCGATAAAAAATTGGATGATAAGAAGACAAGTATCACCGATCTACTAGATTGTCTAACAGATGAACAGCTAGAGGACAAAAGACGTAGCACCGGTAGCATCAATAGCTTGAAAAAACTGTGGGAGAACAAGGATACCTTGAGTGCTGGCAGCGAAATAGCCGGTACACAACCCTCTGCTCCTGGCAGTCCAAAATTTAGTAATGCTGGTCACGCTGAATCAGTAAGTAAACAATTCGAACAAGACACTGCTAACGAGTCAGTTGGTAAAGAATTATCAGAGAATTTCAGTATTATGTCAACGCGTAGCTCACAAACGAGCAGAAATGATGAACGTATGCCATGGCCGCCAATCGAACCTGAGGGGTCGACAGTGCTTGTCAAGCCAGCCAAATCTCTTGTCTGTTCAGGTAAACGTTTTGGCACATCAATTTACGCAATACCCAACTTATATAAAAATGTCAGCACTGAGAAGGAGCCAAAAGAGCAGGAGGAAGAGGAACAGCAACAGCAGCAAAATCAAAGCCCTGAACTTATTTCAAAAACAGGCCATAAACTGAGTATTCTCGAGATCGCAAGTAGTATTGAGAATGTCATTATCGATCTAAAGGACAACTCTAATGTAGCTGTGGTCAGCTGGCTTCAGTTGTCAGACAAGGTTAGTTTATTATACGGTATGTGTAACAGCTACACTCAAGATGCACAGATTCCACCCCACACCAAGTTCCAGTTTCATGACTTACTGTCTCGGCTTGAGTTGCAGGCACGAAAAATTAGAGCAGCTAGTATGTGTAACACGGTTGAAAATGCCAAATTACTTATGGATCTACATAACACTATTAAAGATGTAAGTAACGTTGTACAGAGATGAAAGCGCAACATCGAGGCTTGAAATTACATTACTGTTGACGCTGCCAACACCGTTATAAGCACATAATTATTTAAGTGCCGTCAGCGAGGCTAGCAATTGACATGCTTACGCATGTACGCGTAACCAAAAACTTTAAAAAATTGTTGAAACATCAAAAGACCGCGTGAAAAGGGTCTGCTTTATCGTGTAAGTTTTTTTTTTTTTTTTTTTTTTTTTAGTAAAAATGGCTATTTGAAAGTAAACTCTCATAATAACCATATCATGCGATCAAAGACGTTATTTTTTAAGTAACAAAAAAACTATTGATCTAAGTCATTAGTAACGGTGTTTGAGAAAGAGAAGATAAGATTGATAAGGAAGCAAAAATTATTTTGAGTGCACTTAACTTGAGACTGTACTGTAGAATTGCTTATTAATATTTTTAAAATCAACCAAACTTTGAGAATACAAGAGACTTTCAATATACTTAAAAATTAAGTACTAATTAGTGGAATGCTTAAGTGTATACTAAAGAATTATGTGACGCCAAGAGAACTAAAAATGTACTTTGTAATAATTATAATAGTCAATGTCAATGTCACATGTCTCACGGTCTTTATCTTTTCTTTCCATGAAATACTTATATAAGGTAAAGTCTTACAAACAAGTAAATGCACACTATTCAAAACTTTTTTAATGAAAGCATACAAAAATTATTGATGAACGTATATTGTGAACTATGCTGGTGTTAAGACAAATAAATTTTAAAATTTAGCATTAAACATGATTCATAAACTGCAAAATAAGTCATTTAAAGAAAAATTGAAACTACAAGAATTATATAACTATTTATTTATTCTTTTAAGCTTTCAAAATTATTACAGCAATATAATCTTTATCTTTTCTTATAGAGTTTATTCAAATTAAAGTAAATAGACCTTAGTATACCGTGCGCCAAATCTTGAATTAGGGTAAAAAAAAGTAAATTTAAGTGACTTGATGCATACCATGGAGCAATATAACAATGTTGTATTTGCGGTGTCTATTGAGTTGAATGATAATCCTAACATGAAATCATTTAAAGAGGAACAGCGCAACTGAACTATTAAACAAATGAATTGGAACTGTGCCTCGTGTTCTCGTAGCTTCAGGTTTTTGTATAATATTGATAAATAAATTATACGGGTCTATAGTAATGCAAAACTTCCTCTTCGCAGCTTTTAAAATCTTTCACCTTTAATTATAAGACTTTGTGTACATTAAGTGTCGTATTGCTAAAGTTACAATTTTAATAGTAAAAAATGCAAAATTTTANTTTTATCTCCGCTTCTATCATTCGTAGAGTAATTTTACAATAGTCAATTTTTTTGCCATAAAGTTGCCTACAAATTGGACATCTTAGAAAATTTATTATTTATTGTTATGACTCACTAATGGTAACGAAAAGCGAAGAAAAGTTTTTCAAACCTAAAAACTTTCGATCGCCGTAGAAAAAAGAACTAGCATGTCAATTTAAAAGTAACCGTGGAAAAAAATAGATGTAGCGTTGCACAATAAGAAGCTAGTTTCAAAATTAAAGAATGATTATTAGTTTTTCCTTATAAATAAGATATTAGCATATGTTATGTAGCAAAGTTTCAATGATTTTAAGTAGATTTTACGTTGGTATCTGTGATAGTTAAGCATGAATTACTACTTTGGAATTTTAATTTTAATTACAATTATGTTTCACGAAGTACGTAGTATATATGTAAATGAAACACAATGAACCTCATTATGCAAAATATCGAATATATTGAAATGTATTCTTAACAAAAGCGAAATCTACAAATGTTCAAGGATTTTCAGTATAGTTCGTAGTTGTTAATAAAACGTTATTTTTTTTGTGTGCATTGATTTTTTAATCTTGTATCAATATAAAATTTCGGCACTAGTAATGTATATCATCATATGGTAACTGATTTACTTATGCAAAATTTTAACGCTGTTTTATATATTACCACCTAGTTTATAATAAAATTGCTGGTTTAATCTTTTTTTGTCTTTTCCATGGTTGTCATACTCCACTGATACATATATATTCCTTTTTTTATTTTCAGTAATCCATGTAGGACAATGTAAGGTTATGAATTTTTATGTAATAAAATGTATAAGTTACATGCATACATTGATTTTGCTTAAGACGTTTCAGCTTTCTAATGCTTCTTGAGTTCTAAAACAATCACTTACTATCTTTCCTTTATCGCCAATAACTGTTATCAGAAAATTTTGATTGAATGTTTGTGAAGGTTTGTACGTTTTAACTGTATCACTGTAAGTCTTGACTTTCAAGTCCTTGTCTTGATACTTTACTTGTCCACTAACTTTAACTAAAAATGTCAATTGACTCGCCACCGTAGGTCCTGAAAAAAAAAACACGAATTATTCACCAATATATTAATTTTCCAAAATGAAGCAGTCTTAATATGATCAATTACTAGAAAACTACATTTATTTTTCTTATTACAGACTCGTACCTGTTATAGGTTGAGCATCTAATGTTATCACAGAATGTTCCGAGATGGGTAGTTCAGTCCAAAAATTTTGTATTTGATCTTTCCCTTCGACTCCGTTGCCATTCCATACTAAAATAGCTGTATCCATGTATAGCTTTGACATAAGCTGTTGCAATGAAAATAATTTATTCATTAATGATACAGTAAATTAAAACATATAAATAACTGTTGTTAGGATCATTAGAATTTTTTTGTCTTTTTTTTTACTGCGCAGTTACCACGACAGCCTACTAGCCTCGTTGCCGGGTCTACTACTGGCCTAGTTACCAGGGCCACCCACTCACTACCTATGTGTGGGGGTGTATTGCTGCACTTATTTTGCTGATCACCTAACTGATATACCTATCGTATCATGGATACAGTGGGAATATCTCCTATAAAATACTTTGTCAGTTAAGCTAGCATTCTCTGCACCATTGGTGCATCAGGTCCAGTTACCACTATGAAGCCTTCCTACGGGGAAGACTCCATATTTCAGACCGTACACTCCTCGCCAGTTAAGCTGGCGCTTTCTGTCGAAATATTGGATCCAGGCTAATTGGCATCCCCGGAGAAGCCCCACTGTCAGCCCGGAGGTCCGAAGACGTGTGGGGTAAGGAAAAAATTTTGGAATCACTCTCAAGGAAAATTCCATGGAAAAACCCGCCCAAAACAGCCGCGGTTTTATAGAAACTTTTTTCGATAAAAATAGTTTTTGAAAAAATCTGCATTGATCGGGAATTGATCCCATGACCTCTAGAACGGTGTTGTACCAGTATCAAGCACGATTACCACTGAGCTAACACCACTCCTCATTACAAGTTTCATTCTTCCTTTATTGAAAAATCTCAATTTTTGTTGATACGTGGCCTAACTAAAATGGCCTTGTAGCCCAAGTTATAAAGTTAATAAAAAAATTACGAAATTTACTCATTCTGCCTCATGATCGCAAAGAGGAACTACAAATTAATGTATGTATTGGGTGTACATATAAGTTTTTAGGGATTTACAAAAGATGCCGTAACAAGTGTTCAATCGCATCGCACCACCTTTTATCTATATTTACATGAAAGCCTCAACATTTCACTCTAATAATCAGTAAGTGTCATTTTGCTGGAATTTTGGTGGATTACAACGTATACATTTCACGAAGAGCTGCTTTGACTTTTTTATTTTTGTAGTTATGTATTATTATTTTTTTTTTTTAGGGAAGTTCCTTTTCTTGCGTTATGAATTTTGGGCAAAAGGGGACTGGACCAATAAAAGTGTTTTAAGACTTTTTTCCGATCCCGCTATAGTAATACAGCCATGTATAAAGTTATATGTATATATTGCTACACGCAGCTCTCTCTTTTTCTCTCTCTCTTCATGCGTGCGTATCGACAGACCCGACGGCTCTTTATTGTTCGGCTTCTTTCGGTTGTACTCAGCCAGTAGCTCCTCCTCCCCGCACTGCGTACCGTCAGCAATACCTACACATTTACAGCGGCCGCTGTAAGTATATACGCATAGCTTGACTCGACATAGAACGTATTATTCTCTTCCCGCTTCCCGACCTTCCCGCACCCCGCGCTATTGCACTGATTACGCTGGCTGTAAAAGTAGCTGTTTAGTTCATTGACCGAAAACAAAAATACGATAAAATTTTATGTTTTTCAGTAGAGAGAAAATTGGTCACATCCCTACAGAATTTTCCTAGGAATATGAGAAAAATACTTTTGTCCAAATCAAAGGTTTATTTAATTTCTGTAGTTAAAAATTTATGGTTAATTGGCAACTTTTTATTTAGTACTTTGCTTTTATCTCCGCTTCTATCATTCGTAGAGTAATTTTACAATAGTCAATTTTTTTGCCATAAAGTTGCCTACAAATTGGACATCTTAGAAAATTTATTATTTATTGTTATGACTCACTAATGGTAACGAAAAGCGAAGAAAAGTTTTTCAAACCTAAAAACTTTCGATCGCCGTAGAAAAAAGAACTAGCATGTCAATTTAAAAGTAACCGTGGAAAAAAATAGATGTAGCGTTGCACAATAAGAAGCTAGTTTCAAAATTAAAGAATGATTATTAGTTTTTCCTTAATTAATTTTTAAAAGTGATACATTTAAAGTGTTGTTAAAAACTTAATGGTTGGTTTACAAGAATAGAAAAATATTTGTGCTGTTGAGTTGACACAGACAAAATTTGTTTAAATTTTTTTATGATCTCGTAGGACATGTAAAAACACCAAACAAAATTTATTACTGCACTTGAACCTAATTATACTCAAATTACTAATTCACTTGGTAGATTCACTTTGAATAATGTGTTTTTGTTTTTAATATATTGTGTGACGTACAGTATCTAGAGCCTTTGTAAGTTCGCGACCAAGACTCACCTCTCACGGCGCATGAGCAGTGGATACAGAGTATGATGATCACCGTTCGGCGGCGTGCCCGAGCGTTATCAGCTCTCCCGCTCTTTCTCTCTCCGATCAGCCTCCGAACCTAACATCACGCACGCGACTGATCTCGCTTTGATCCACGAATAAACGGATTTATAAGTTTCTTTCACGTGTATTCTATCCACTTACACCCCCAAGCTCCACAATTTCCAAATAACAGGAGGTTGTAGATAACCCAACCCCTTAATTTTCGGCGCTCGACGAATGGCGAGTTGTGTACGACAAAGTGATAGGAAAAATTTTTTTTGTTTTCTTTAATAGTCAGAAAGCACCCATAGTGCAGTGTAAGTGGAAATAAAAAGAATTATCGTGAAAAGAAAAGTGATATTAAAAAAAAAAAAAAACTAAATAATAACAAGAAAAGGAAAATACAGTGTTAAGGAGACACACGTGGCGAGACACGTGGGAACCAAGCACGTGTCAAATACCAGCGTGGGCACACAGCAGCCATCCAGGAGGCCGGCACCGTCAGGAAATAAGACAAGGGAGAGCCAAAACACGAAACTACACCACAACACGCACCCTCTGGTAGCAATATTTTTCTTTAGACATTTTGTTTACGGACACGGAAATGCTTTGGATCGTACTGCTTAAATACTGCCCAGGTAGATGTAATTTATATAAACGGTAAATAATATTACTGCTGGGTGATAAGTTTCATCAAATAGGCCCATAACAAGCAAATACAACCAAACAAAGAAAAAAAAAAAAAAAAAAAAACCAAGAAAAAAAAAAAAAAAAAAAAATGCAGTCGGGAAAAATTGATAACGCTATAGGTGGGGCGGTGGACTGCTTAGCAGACGCGGAGGTCGTAACAGACGACAGTTTATGGTTACAATTTTGCCACGATTCCGAAGCGGTCAAAGAATTAGAAAAGTTGAACAAAAAAACGAAAGACTTAATTGGTAAAATTTTTAAGGGCATGAAAACGGTTGTGCTAAGAGATAAGAAAAAAGAGGGCTCTAAGCAAATAATTGGAGCAAACGAAGTCTCAGAATCGTATATAAAGCCCCTGCGTAGTGATGATAACGGAGAGGAAGGGGATGAGTGAGATAGGGGGCCCGCTGGAAATCAGCTTGGCAATTGGAAAAGGCAGACAGAGTTGCTCCAAAGATGGCCAGAAAGGGAGGGAGAAGAAAACAAAAGAGAATTCTACAACAGAGATAGAAGGGAAGCTAGACCAATGCGGGAGTTCGGAAATTTTAAAAATAACCAGAAGAGGTGGGAGCAAACAACATATGGACCTATACACAGATTGCCGCATTACCGGGAGTATGAGAAGAATAGAAATTTCTCAATTAGGGAATTGAGTACAATAATCCCCACAATACCAATATTTACAGGGAATCCAATAAATCTAACAGCGTTCACAAGGGTAGTAAGGGCAATAGGCCGGCAGGTGGACGACAGAGAGGTCCTATATTTTTTGGCAACGCTGTCCAGCAGGCTGAAAGGTCGAGCGGCAGCACATTTAAACGATAGAATCACACAGTTTGAGTCCATAGAACAATTTCTCGAGGAGGTTACAGAAAGGTACGGGGCCATCAGTAGTACAGAGACAGTTGTGGCGAAAATTAGGTCGGAACGGTAAAGGGATAGGGAATCTGTGGAAGAATACTCAGATCGCATACAAAAGTTGTTCAACAGGGCCATGGGACTTTAAGAAGCCAACCTTGAAGTTTCTGAAATGTTAAGGCAGGAATTCAAGAAAAATATCCAAAAAGAGGTAGTGACCCAATATATATTAGGCCTTAATCCCCCGTACAACCACGAACTTTCAATGCATCGGCCCATAGCGCTAACAAAGGCCATTACATTGGCATTGAAAGTCGAGGATATGATGGCTATGAAGTCACCTCGAGTGGACAGCAATAAATATGAGAGATGGGAAAAAGAATCTAAGAAAAGGGAAGACGAGGTAAACAAGTGTAACTATTGTGGCCAAATTGGGCACAAAGCAGAAGAGTGTCGTTCATTGTGGCACGACATAGAAAAAGGACTGCTAGTGAAGAAAGGTCGCGGCGAGGAGACCAGAGCACCGTACTATACAAGGTACCAGGATAGGGGTGAAGAAAGAAGAGGTGGAAAATTGTATAATGATAGTGGAAGAAGACCCGGAGACTACCAACATTATAATATGGCTCAGGCAGAGAATAAATACAACTACGGCAGATATGGGAGAAATTTTGAAAAAGGATATGCTTGTCGCGAAAATAATAATAACAATAACAATAGTAATAATAGATATTATGAGCCGAATGGCAGAAATTACGGGCAAGAGACAGTGGTAGAGAGGAAAAATAACGAGCGTTATGAGCCTAGACATACAAACGGGGCACAGGACGCACGGGAGGCTAACCCAGACAGGGTGATACCTCTAGTAAACAGAAGCCGAATTTTTAGAACGATGCTCAGAGTACTCCCTCAACATCGAGCATCGGGAAAAAGTGACTACATATTGTAAAGGACCAAAAGTAAATGATGAAAGAATTGGAGAGAAAGAAGAAAAACCTACGCAGTCAAAGGTGTGGGGAAAGGAGATGAACAAAAACAAAATTAATACTTGTCAACAAATCGAGCCAAATGTAAAAAAAAGCTAAAAGATAAAAATATATCGATGGGAAAAGAGGAAAAGAGAGAAGTCATGACGGTACTAATTAATTATGCAGCAGTAGGACGCCG